AAAATGAAGAAAAAATACATTCACAGGTTAGAAATTCATTTGACGTTAAAAGACGAGGAAATCAGAAATATTTTGTGGGATTCCCATGTTCGTTACAGTATGCTAGCATAGAACTGAAACCACCAAATCATTTGTTATTATGCATAGCTGATGTCACTGACTTCTCAAAATGGTTGTAACCGTTTTCAATCCTTTATAAAATCGTGAAGAAAATATGTGATAGTAATGCTCTTTAGTTGCTTTGCGAAACTTACAATTTGAAAAATAATTGGATTGGCATCAACATGCACTAACTCATTATAATTCTATAAAGGGTTTTTATGGTGTAGCGGCAGAAAGTTTTCATTCGTCTAGAAGAAAAAAATGGTTACTAAGTAGAAGAGGTATGCAGCTCAAGGTGGAAAAAGATGAGAGGAAAAGAGCTCAAAACCCGAGAAAGCAAAAATAGAGAAAGGGTGCACATTGCTCAAAATAAATAAGTTCATGTTTTATTTTTGAAAGTAATACAATTTAGATAGACAAAATCATTTGCTTAATAACATACTATTATACTAACCTAAAAATTATAATTAAAAAGGGAATTGAAACAAAAGTTTTTTCAACTGAACTGATTTAATAGGTCCTTTATATCCCTCTAGTAGGGTAAGGGGGTAGAATCAAGAGTAAAGAAGATGCCCCTAAGATGAATATATAAAGTATATTATAAAGGATAAGCTACAATATATCAAGCTCAGTTCATGTTCGGGCTCCAGCTCTTAATATCAAAATAAATGCTATGATTCTATCAGTATTTATAACTCTAACAACTAAATAATGTTTATGTTCATAATTGTAATTAAAATGAAAGAGCCAAATTCTATAATTATTATAGCTAAAATAGAATTTTTGGCAAGAATATTGCTTTTTTTTATTTTGAGTTACTATAATTTTGAATTTTTATACACCCATTGAGATATACATTTAAAAATCAGCACATTAGTTGATAAATATTATTCATGATTTTTCAGGAAAAAAAATGTAAGAAGTTTACATTTTTGTCTATGTATGTGTTTGCATGCATGTATGTAAAATTTTAAGAAAAATGTAAGAAGTTTAAACTTTTGTCTATGTGTGTGTGTGTCTGTGTGCCTGCCTGTCCGCCTGTATGTATAGAGAGAGAGAGAGAGAGTGAGCACATGAGCTAAAAAAGGAATTTTGCCACTATTAAAAGAAAACTTGCATGCATAGGATAAACATAAAAGGTAAGAGATAAGTTGTTTACACAAATAATTGAAGTGATTGACCTAAAACCAATTCGGATTTCAGTGAAGAACATATTCAAAGTGTAAATGCATCACGTATACAACATCAACTTAACCAGCTTGAAAGAAATACTTCTCTATAGAGGTGAAGAACAACAGCTATAGAAATGTTAAAGAACTTCCCATAAGATAGCAATAGAGGTAAACAATATACCTATAAAAAAATCTTGAGACTAAAAGTATAAACTTCATCATTCATCATGTCATTGTATCTGATCAGCAACCTAATCAAAGATCATATGGTAGCTTGGCAATGATAGAAATCGAGGCACAAACTTAATATGTAAGAATTATTAGGTGGCAACACTACAAATGGAGGAACCCTCTTAAGCTTTATGTCAAGGAGAAGAGAAACAATATCAACAGGTGAGTTATGCTCATGCTCAACATCATGCACCAGCAGGATCTCATCTAGAGCATATTTATTAAGTTAGACTCAAACTTATGCAGGCTTAGTTAGCAATGTAGTTTAATCTTTCTCTCAAGCTATCCTTGATCCATTTTCTCCCTGAAAAGGTATTTCCATAAAATTTGAGAGGCAGATCTTAATTTTTTTCCTTGCTTAAACCTAAATTATAAATTAATATTATTCTATTAGCTTGTGATTGCAGTCTTAGTTAGCTGTAAGAGGATTATGTTACTCCATTGCTAGGTTAAATAAGAGCCATTTAGGTCTACATATACCAATAGTTGGTCTAGTAATGAATAAAGCGTTACAAATTACTACGTCTCCATGCCAAAGGGTCTAAACCTAAGCTAACACATAGTTTAACTCTGATATATAATTTATGTTCACATGACTCCAGCAATGTTAGTCTTCACAGATTGTACTTTGGGTACATGGTGCATTTTTCAATAAATAAAACTAAACTCTAAAGTATGGGAATCAAACATCAATGTGGAGATGACTCCTGTTAAAAAGGTTTTGTTATGATGAAGCAAGATTTGCTTCAGTTTGAGCAGTTAATTTGAGATGCTTGCACAAAGGCATCACAAAAACTTAAATAGTTATGTACCTAAGAAAATAAACAAAAAGGTGAACCTACATCAAAACAGTTCACAACCACATGCTGGTACCCTTAACCCTAAAACCTAAATATTTTTAATGGAGATAATATGTTAGCAACATCAAAACAAATGATGGCATACAAAATTCACCAACAATTTCATGGCACCAACAATCAAAAGCTACATATTGAAAAAGGTATATTCATGAATACAAAATATTAAAGCGTAGCAACTTTGTACTATAGAATTAGGTAACAATCTAAAGAGTGTAGAAAACGAAAACAGTGACTCTTTCATATGCTAATTTCCTAATCATAAGAAACTAGAGATAAAGCAGCTGCCAACAACTAATAAAAAAGTTTTGCTGCAAAAATTATCAATTAACTCCCATAAATGTGATCTGAAACTAAAATGATTATCATTTGCTATGAATCTGCCTGTTGGTCTAGTAAGCTGGTCCAAACACGTTATATGCTGCTGGTTTCACATTCCAAGCACCTCAAACTATAATTGAGAAAAACATAAATCTTTGCAGCCTGTACAAACAAATATAATCAGGAACATAAAGAAGCTCAATCACTTCAAGTTCCAAAAAATTGTATAAAATAGTGCATAGGGTTTGGTATGCCTCAATTTCTACAAAGACAAAAAAAGCGACAAAAGAATCTAACAAGGCGACGAAAAATAGCTACTCTATTTTTTTCATAAACGCTACAAAAATCCAAATACCATGACTTGAATTCATCAACCAAGCATATAAGGTAACACCGTGAACCACAAATCTTCAGGGAAATAGAAAAAGAGATAACATTTAAAGAATCGAGATGCATACCCCATGCAGGAGAAGACCTGGCCGATCCAAGCAGAGAGAGATCTGCAGAATATCATCGAGGGGATAGCCCCAGATCCACCATCAACGACCCCAGAACCGCCCGTGGACGACGATACAGAGAAAATAACAGATTGGGTACTTCCTACGCCCTAGTTTCGATCTCAAAATGCCATCAAATCAGTGTAAGAAATACTAAAATACAGAAAAGTAACGGATATCCCTGTTACATAAAATTTTCATGAGGTTACGGAATCGAAGAAGAAGGAACTCAGAAGATTAGAAAAAAAAAACTTACAATTTGAGAAAATTCAAACCAACCACAGCCACCATAAGAGAGAACGCCGCCTCCGGGTTTCGGTGGCGCTTCGACTCACTTCTATATTATCCACAGGTGCGCTGAGAAAGGTAGCTCATTTAGGAGTTCTTATTCATTTCCTTCGCCCGCTAACCAAAACCGTGAACTGCTCGCCTCATCTCCACAACTAAATTAAATAATTACATAAATAAAATGAAGTGAATTTATATGTTTTTTAGTTTTCTTTTTTTTTCATATTGATGGTAACATAAAGTATTTTAATATA